TATATATATATATATATATATATATATATATATATATATATATATATATATATACTTATACACACAACCACACGAACATACACACTTACACACATCATACTCACTCACGCCCTAATGAGCCAAATGATAACACACCCCTACAGCAATATACACGCTTACACATACCATACTCAGTTACTCCCTAAGAACCAAATAACACACAAACACTTAACAGCGACACATCCTCTCTCCAGGACCAATAAAACTCTCAAACTCTACAGGGGAATTCAGAGCAGCATATGTCCATCCAGCTCTTATCTCAAATAACAACTTAAAAGAGACTGTTTGACCAACACAAGGAAGGTTAAAAGATTCATGTTAAAAAGATAAAAAAATAAAAAAAAACAAATGAAAACTACAGACAAAAGTTCATTTTCTCCAACAAAAGACATTCATTTCTGTAGTTCACTGCTACCAGCAAGCAGAAATATTTCTTCTGATGATGATGGCCATTTTGGCCGAAACTAGTCGAGGAATTTAAATGAAATAATAATAATAATAATAAAAAACGACAGAATATTAATCTAAAACCCAGTGTGTCTGAAGATTTAAATTATATATATATATTGTGTATTTAGGCAGCAATTCTTCATTTATACATGTTTCATTAAAGACGGCAAACATGGTACTAGATTGAAATTTTATTTAATTTTTCTTGTGTTCTAACAAGTGGTTTCTTTTCTGAACAAACCGTGTGTAGAAACTGTATCAAATGTTCTGGAATTCAGAGCGCTTCCGGCTATAATTTTAGCTATTATCAGGGATTATTTTATTTTTGCTTTTTAATTGGGTGTCTGGGTTGTGTGTATGTTTCTAGAGTTATTGGGGTGTTTTATTTTCCGAACACAGCACATTTTGGCCGTGATCGTAGTTAATATTACTGAGTGTTGGCTTTTTTTTATTATTATTAAGTCTTCCATTATTTTTAATAAGTTTTACACGTGGATGAGTTTATTATGTTTGTATATTCTACAAATAAGATTCGGATGCAGACTGGTAAGTTTGTATGTGTGTTTAAATGGATTCTAATAGAGCTGTGGTCTGCAAGGTGTAATGTAAGGCGCCTAGATAGGAATGTAGTAATGTGACCAATGTAATTATCTATGAATTCGGTTTGATCAAGAATACAGTTCTTTAATGGGCATAGATAATGTTCGTTCGTTGTAATTTTAATTTTCCTGGTATGTTATATTTGGGGATAAGTTTAGCTGTTTGAGATTTTTTTTTTGTAGTAGATATTTTATTGTTTTTTTTTTTATAATTCTAGAAACATACAATATACTCACAAGCCATGCACCCAATTAAAAAGCAAAAATAAAATCATTCATGATAATGGCTAAAAGTAGAGCCAAAAGCGCTCTGAATTCCATAACATTTGGACACTTTCTACACACACTGTGTCCCAAAAAGAAAACACATGTTCCAAAACAAGAAAAAATTAAATGAAAAGCTCAGTCGTAGTACCTTGTCCTTCGTCTTTAAACAAACGTACACACACAGACGCACACACACACACACACATATATATATATATATATATATATATATATATATATATATATATATATATATATATATATGGAAATAATGACACGATGCATACACAGTAAAACGTACATTTTGAGTTCGTACGAACCAGGATGAAAGTATGTGCATTTTATTTACTACACCCTCCAATATAATTTCAATAAATAATATCTCTTTTCTCCCCAACTTCTATTACACTTGCACTTTTTTAATATGACTGTTTCCGGGTCTAATTCAACTCTGACCAATAACTTTTTTATAATCAATAATTTATATATATATATATATATATATATATATATATATATATATATATATATATATATATATATATATTGGTCTAGTGTTTCTGCTATGGAAGTCACTTGAATCTGTTACCTTTGTTTCAACGTTACGGTAGTCTCAGGTGATCTTTATCAAATGACTTCTTAATTTTCAAATAAATCGTTAAGAAGTCATTTGATGAAAATCGCCTGAAGATAGCGTAAGGCTGAAACAAAGGATTGCGGATTCAACTGAACCCCCTGACTTTTAAAGTTAAAAAAATTTACATGTTATGTTTAACTTTTATTTTATTTTTTCACGTGTGTATTGAGCACATTTTAATACTAATGATTCCTGGTCTGATTCAACTCTGACCATTAAACTATTATGTATTATATATATATATATATATATATATATATATATATAGATAGATAGATAGATAGATAGACAGACAGAGAGTGAGAGAGAGAAAGAGAGGAGGGGAAAAAACATGTCAATTTTGCCAATCGACATAAGAATTGTATTTTGGTCCAGTGGCCTGGAGTGATATAGTGATAACTTGAAATGTAACATCTTTACATCTGGTAGTCAGAGAAACAGATGCAAAGATGCTAAATTTCAATTCATTATTCAGTATAACTCTCAGACACTTTTGTAAAATCCTATACTCATCTCTTTAGGGATTTCAAAATTAGTAACTGTTTTTTTTTCAGGAATACACGTCTCTTGAGCCCATAGTTAGCTAGCTAGCTAGCTAAATAGATAGATAGATAGATA